TCAAGACCGAATATAATGAAACCAATGGGATAAGTTTAATGGTTCCAAAACCAAGGACAAGTAGGGTAGACTCATCGGCCATCATCAATTGTGACATAGGATGAAGACATCGGTTTATTGAAATTGGAAAATAATCCTATGATTACTTGTCATGTGATTCGAATTCCAAAGCACCTAAATCTGTTCCCATTTAGAGATAGAGGATAATAAGTATTTACTAGATTTACATGTCATGGTAAATACAACAGTTGGATTCTCTGTTCCCATGAGTCGAGCATACTTATCACCAAGTTAATTGTTAATGTTCTCCAAAAGTAGAGGAAACATGTGATGAATGGATCCTTCTGATTTCTAGCCAATAGCTTCTTGCATGTGTGTTTAGTATAACCGAGATCAATGCAATAGTAACACTCGACATCATCATAAGTTTGCAAGTTAGTGGTACAGTTACTATGACCTCTTTTGAAGCTCCCTGTGGCCCCTACGAGACCCTCCTTAAAAACTACCATGAAATCCTCTTTTACTAACTAAGGCAATACAATGATCAGAGGTTTGAGAGGATGATGGTTCTTATTCTGAAAAAAAAAATGTTTCTTAATGGGAAGGAAATGCATATTCTTTCAAAAACTTAGATCTGACCACCTCTGGTTTTAGTACGAACATAAAACTTATAATGGAAATATGTTCCCTCCTAAGTTTTCATGACTCTCTCAAATGGAGGACTGTATGTGAGATGGGAGGTTATTCTCATGGTTTTGAGATAGAGTTGAATAGTTTCATTCCATTCAAGTAAGTTGGAGTAGTTTAAATTGTTATCAATGAGTCTAACAGCTACCACCTTAACAATAATACGTGGGCCACTACTACTAATAGACATTTGTCATCTCCTCCCGATGTTTTAAGAGGACAACCTGAACTCAAAATCACATAAAAATGAGAAAAGGAATAGAACCAGATTGGAACCTAAAAAATCTCGGATGGTGAAATATGAACCAACGGGATTGGCAGAATTCCAAATGTCGGCACCACACCAAAAATCAAAACTAAAACAGTGCTCACACGCTCTCACGTGCTGATGCATGGTCAGACATTTAAAATGAGATGATACACGTGTGGCTCATACTATGTCAGAATGGTGACATGTTTTCAGGACTTCCTAATGGGGGGATTCTGAAGACCACGATGATATGGCATTGATCCAAAACGCGCACTTGAAATGGCCGTTCGTGATAACAGAATTTGATAGGTTTGTACTTATAGATTACTCCTATTCACAACCAAAACCAACCCAACTATCCATTAAAATCCTCTCTTCCACCTATTAACCCTAACTTTTCACACCATGGGCAAATCAACTCAAACCATTTTTTATTATATAAATAAACTTTAAGATTATTTTTTATTCTATTAATATTTATTAAAAAAATAAAAATAATTTATTTAGTTAAAATTAATAAATTATTTATTTTAAAAACAAAACTAAATAAAAGTATTTTACATTTATGAAACAAATTAACTTAATAATATAGATAAACCAAGTTAAAATCAAAACATGAAATACAAGATTACTGATATAGAAGGTGCAAAAACAACATAATCGTCCATTAATGCCAAAAAATTTCCATATATGCTCAATCAAATCGTTTTAAGCGTGTTATGATATTCTTTATTATGAAGTTGTGCCATTTTGTTCATATAACTAAATAGGTCTGCAATTCGTTGAGTGAAATATTCTAAATTTTTTTCATCAACTTCAATAGAGGTTCTTTGTTGTCGGTTTTTCGGTCTGTCATCTAGAAATTCAAATGGATCATAATAGTGAAGGTATGTACCACGATAACATTATGATTGATAATACACACAATCATAATTTCCCCCATCATATCCTTGTCCATAAAAAATGGATGTCAAAGAAATTTAAAACGATATTTTAGAACTCCAAATTCTCGTTCAACATCGTTTTTAGTGGCCTTTTGATGTTCAACAAACAACTTGTGTTTCTGAAGTTGGGGGGAGTTATTGACTTGACAAAAGCAACCCATGAAGGATATATACCATCAGTGGGATAATATGCCATATTAGTTTCCCGTATATTCATGCCACAACTCCTATGGGTGTTCGGCCTACTAAGACATCATCAAAATGGAATAATATGCGACATTAGTTTCACATATATTCATGATGTAACTCGTATGGGTGTTTGGCTTGCTAAGACATCATCAAAAATAGGACATCGGTTGAGGACGTTAATGTCATTGAACACACCTGGAGTTCGAAAGAATGCATTCCATATCCATAAGTCATACAATGCAATGGCTTCCAAAATGATTGTTGGTTTACTGTTTCTACATGCATATTTTCTAGCCTAAGAAGTGGGGAAATTTTTCCATATCCGGTTCATAGAATCAGTGCTTACTATCATACCTAGAAATCCACGTTACTCCATATATGAAGTAGTCTTGCCAAATCAGCTTCACTGAGGCTTCTAAGATACTCTATACTGAAACATGAAATGATACCTTCTAAAAACTTTATTACAACATCCCTTGTCACAGTTTCACTCATTCTCAAATACTCATCGTGTGCATTTGTTGATGTCTCCTATGCCAAAACCTGTATAGGTATGATATTTCTGCAATAAGAAAAGACCTTGTCTACCAGTGGCATTACGTCTTTGTTGAAAATATAGGTCATTAGTTGTAACAATTTTCACTATATGGATAAATAGTGATATTTGTATACGAAATCTACACTGAAAGGTATCTTGATAATATGTTGGGTTTTTAAAAAAGTAGTCCTCCGTTAAATGTGCCCCATCTTGCTCATGTTCTTAATCACAATACCCCCTTCTTGATATGGGAGGATGATCTTCTATTAGTAATTCAATGATGAGTTCATCAAGTTTTCGATTATGTATAACGACCTGTGCTTCCCATTTTGAATATTTATTCGAACTAGATGAGTTTTCATTATAAGACATTTTTCAGAGAGACAAAAAAATGAAGAGTTAGTGTTGGATATTAAAGTATGATGGTCCTATATTCTATTAATACTAAAAAAATGATTTAATTTTTTTTATATAATTATGAATAACGATGATGTTAAATTGCTTTGTCTAAATAATATCCAAGCATCCAATACAAGGTTGACACCTGAAAATGAAGATAATATTCGATTTGGTAGATGATATGATGAAATTGAATGCACTATGTTTAATAAATATGATACTGAAGACTTAATGTGTGAAAAAGATTTATGAACAACAACATTACTTAATAAAATATATTACAAATACGTGAGATACAAAAGTAAAATATCTTACAAATACATGCCACATAAAACCCCATAATAAAATGTCTTACGAGTGCATAGATAAACTGAAAATAAAACACATAGTGAATGGTAATTAGTTTTCATAAGACTTTGATATCAGAAATGTTTCATGTTTTCTTCTTTAAGCGATAAATGATACTTTTGTAGCAGTGTTCAGATGCATAAGTTGCATCTTCATTAGCTCCCTTTCATTTATTTTTTGCTCCCTTTCATCCTTTTTTTTCCCCTTTCTTTATCCAATTTGATTCTTTTTTCATGACTTCAAGTTCATTTTCTCTAGTAAGACACAGTTTCATTAGAAGCCTTACCTTTTCCCTGTTTTAGCTGCATCACAGCATGTTGGATGTTTAATTGTTAAAACATCGCTAGTTGGCGTTTTTGGGTTGGTATGGACACAATACTTCCCTTCTTTAGTAGTTCTTGATCTTTTTGTGCTACTACCACTTTTTTCATTACCCGCTTCACATTCAGGACGATAACGTGTTGTGTCACGATGTAACTATAATGCCCGTTTCTTGTGTTTACACATAACTTCATTAAAAAAATAATGTCATTGAAGGTGTTCCTACTTGCCTCATAAATTTTATGGGCTTCATTCTCAACATCTTTCTCTTTCTGACTCATTCCATTTGTTCGGCGATTTGCTTCCTTATAAAAACCAACCCACTTTTGTGCATTTTCACTAAGTTGCTTATAATGACCACTCATTTGATCTCCTTTCCTGCTATTAAGCTTTTATGGATATTCAGCCTGGCATCATACAGTTCCTTTATTTGTTCCCCCAATGATGCTTTTTTTTTTGGGTTTTTCCACACATCTTATCTTTACCAGTAAAACACCATGCTAACATTAAAGCGACATCTTCAGCATCATTCCATTTATAGCCCCGTGGTTGTTTTTCAGTATTTTGTAATGTTTGAAGATTATTTGTAACATGGTCTTGGGTGGGATTTGAAAAAAAACAAAGAGTTTTGAGGATTAGAACAATTTTAAGAGTCTCCAAGATTTATGTAAAAATTTGGAAACGAACCATCCATATTTAGAAAATACAAATCAAAAGAGATTAAAAATACAAAATGGAGATTCGATATGAAAATATGATGATATCATACTTTATTTATAGATAAAAACAAGGTTTTTAATATTAGTATTTTTTAAAATTTTCTAAAATGGATAATTTTTTATTTTATTGGATATATAATTTTATCTTATAAAAGTCTCAGGTTTCATTTTCATTAAGACAAGTAGCTTAAAATATATAAAAAAAATGACCAACATGACCGTTGATACACCCACTCCGTTAGTGGGTTTTGCTTCAATGTCTCATTTTTTTTAAATATTATTTTGGTGACCGATTGATTTTTTTGTCACCAATGGGCATAGTCTAACCTAATTATGGTACAATGTAATAGAAACTCAATAATACTTATGTGTATCGTCTTGATCTAAAACTAGGGAAAGGTAATATATATACCAAGGGAAACCCTAATACAGGGAAAGATAATCTCTATGCTCAATGAGAATTATCACACATAAACATTCTAACATGAATAAAATAACTAATTGATGATGGATTAAAGTTTACCTTTTTTTATTTTTGTTGTTAATTGTTATCATGGCATATTCGTATGATAGGAAATATACCGTATCAAGCTTCCAGGTAATCCTTCAAAAATCGGTGAAGGAAAACCTGAAAACCAAAATCATGCGATTATTTTTACTCGTGGAGAAGCGTTGCAAACAATCGACATGAATCAGGTAATTTAGTCCTTTACAAAAGTTTCTTTTTATTATCTTTTAGAAGCATTGTCATATATCTTAAATTATATATACAGGACAATTACTTTGAGGAAGCATTCAAAATGAGAAATGTATTGGAGGAATTTCATAAGGATCATCATGGCCAACGTAGACCAACAATATTGGGGTTGAGAGAACATATCTTCACAGGAAGGTCTGTATAGTTTCATATTTACTTATTATTAAGCTTGTGATGTTAAACCTTCCAAAAGCCACATTCCCTACTTGCATCTCATATATATGGGAGAAGTGAATATACCCAAAATGTATATAAACTTAGGTATCCAAACCTAACATAATACATCGTTTTTGTATCATATATATATGCATCATAAGCTCTTAAAGTTCAACCCCTAACTTGATTTACTTTCAAGATTTTCAAAATTTCACTATTATGTTACTCTTACATCAAATCTTTCTGCAGACCTACTAGGCTATATACTATAGTTGAAAATGAAAATTGCTTAAGAGGAAGATAATGGTAGAATTTATAAAAATCTTGGAAGTAAATCAAGTTAGTATTTGAATTTTATGAACTTTGGACGATTACAATGCATATATGATACAAAACGAAGTAATATAATGAGCTTAAGTGTCTAAGCTTATATACCTTTAAGGCTATATATGTTGGAAGAATTAGAGTTTATGTTAGAGATCTGGATACCTCTTGGATCGTGTGAACAGTTTTTGAACTGATATTTCTACCCTATGTATAGGTTGCAAAAATTCAGCCTAGGATAATCCAATATGACATGTACGAATCTAGGCACAAAATTCGTAAGCCAAATTTCCGAAAGGATTCTATGTTCGTCTGAAGAAAAGTGAGCTAATAGTTGTGTCCCTCTACTAAAAAAGAAGAGACGTTTATATAATAAACAAGATTTAGAGTTTGCCTCTAAGGGTTGTCTGTCATGGGTTGCTTTGGAAGCAAGTCAAGGAAATGCGGAATTTAATGAGGAAATCAATGGTTTCCATAACTGACGAATTTCATTAGTTTTACCATAATCAACCTCAAGATAATCACCCTATCCAGGGTCTCTACCACTTGGACCCCATTAGGGGCGCTGCCCCTTTAGAAACCTTGGACCCAAGGGCGTTGCCCCCAGACCCTTGACTTGTCGTTGGACATACTTCTAAGTCGATCTTATACATGCGTGCACTTCACACATACCCATACATATATTAGAGTACAAATTTTGAAGCCCCTTAGCTCACATAAAAGTTCCAATTACATAAAATGACCAACAATATATATATATATATATATATATATATATATATATATATATATATTACATTTTGGCTTATAAATAGAAGTTGTATCAGGTCATTGTAACCCACAATTGAAGCAAGCAGTTTCTACCTTGTAATGCCTTTTCTAGTAAAAAGGCTTTTGATAACACCTAATTTTTTGTCCCATGTTACCATCTATTTTCCTTTGTATTTCCAGCCACTATAACCAATCATTCTCTATGGTTTTTAGCACTAAACTACAACACACACATTGATCATATAAGCCCCAACAAAGCCTTTCCAACTTGTGTTGGCCAAAACTTTTAACGGATGGAAGGTTACCTTAATTCTTTTATTCTTTGAATTATTTTGCAGTGTATCATCACTAGCTTGGTTCACGTCCAACCAGGAGACAAGTTTTGTGACAATTGGCCAAAGGGTTTTAGCTGACCCTCTGAGGTACGATAATGAAAAATGGTTAAATGAAATATCAACTTTGCTCTATGAATTCATTAATAGTTAGAATATATATGCTTCACAGGGTGCGATTCCATTACGGTCACCCAGATATATTTGACAGGCTCTTTCACATCACAAGGGGTGGCATAAGTAAAGCTTCAAGAACCATCAACTTGAGCGGCGATATATTTGCAGGTAACTTTCTCATCATCCCAAAGATATTATGTTGTAGAACTGTTTCCACACAACAAAGACTTAAAATAGTGCAAAACCAGTTCTAATATCTTTAAAGTTATCTTCTTGAACTGCCCTATGAATTTAATCTAATTACATTTTTACAGGTTATAGTTCCACTCTGCGTGGAGGTTATGTCACACATTATGAATATATCCAAGTAGGCAAGGGTCGTGATGTTGGTATGAATCAGATATCCCTTTTTGAATGCAAAGTTGCAAATGGAAATGGTGAACAAACGCTTAGCCGTGATGTTTACCGACTTGGTCGCCGCTTTGATTTTTACCGAATGTTATCATTCTACTACACCACAGTTGGTTTCTACTTTAGCAGCATGGTATAACAAAATAAAAACTACTTCTATTTACTTATAACTTTTACAATATTATTACTTGCATTAAATAACTTCTTTTGATCCAGGTTACTGTGTTCATTGTTTATGCATTTTTATATGGACGTATATATATGGTTATGAGTGGGTTGGAAGGGAGAATAGTAGAAGATGAAAGTCTTAATAGCAACAAAGGCCTAGAAGAAGCTTTAGTCATCCAAACTGTCTTTCAACTCGGTTTACTTCTCATGCTTCCTATGGTTATGGAAATAAGTATAGAAAGAGGATTTCGCACCGCATTACGTGACTTTATCGTAATGCAACTCCAACTAGCCTCTGTGTTTTTCACTTTCCAGCTTGGAACGAAAGCACATTACTTTGGAAGAACAATTCTACATGGAGGTTCAAAATATCGTGCCACGGGTCGTGGTTTTATTGTCTTCCATGCAAAATTTGCAGATAATTACAGGCTATATTCGCGTAGTCACTTTGTGAAAGGGCTAGAATTGGCTATTCTGCTTATTATCTATCAGGCGTATGGGAACTCATACCGAAGTTCAAATCTATACTTATTCATTACGTTCTCGATATGGTTCCTGGTTGTTTCATGGTTGTTCGCTCCTTTTGTGTTCAATCCTTTGGGAATTGACTGGCAGAAAACAGTGGAGGATTGGACGGATTGGAAAAGGTGGGTAGGAAATCGTGGTGGGATTGGAATTGCACAAGATAAAAGTTGGGAATCATGGTGGGATGCAGAACAGCAACATCTTAGGTACACAAACAAAAGGGGCAGAATTCTTGAAATTATACTTGCGTGTCGGTTCTTCATTTATCAGTATGGACTTGTGTATCGTCTTAATATTGCAGGTGGCAGCAAAAGTATACTGGTTTGTTTTCCTCCTTCCTAGTTTATTTGTCTTGTATAGGGTGCAATCTATTCTCATTAATTATTTTATTTTGTCAGGTTTATGCGCTTTCATGGTTGGTCTTGATATCTGCTCTTCTAGAATTTAAGGTAAAAAACTAAGTTGATCATCTATGATTATGTGGTAGACCTAGAAAGGCAAGGAAAATCTTGAAAGCCTAATTGTATGGTGTATACTCTTTTTGTCAGTTGGTCTCAATGGCCAAACAGTTTGGCACATATTTACAGCTCATGTTCAGGATCTTAAAGGCATTTCTCTTCGTTGTCTTCCTTTCGATCATGACGGTCTTATTTGTTGTATGTGGCCTGACCATCAGTGACATATTTGTTGCCTTCCTTGCCTTTGTGCCAACTGGTTGGGCATTCATCTTGGTAAGTAACCCTTTGGATTAGTGTAGACTTGAGTGGTGTTTTTTTAAGTTAATGGGCTTAATGAGTTAAACACTTAATTGAGATAACTATACATGGATGTTAATCTCACTTCAACTAGAAGAAATGACTTAATGGGTTAAGACATAAAAATTGGCTTAATGGTTTAACACTTAATCTCACTTCTTAAGTTGTTGGTTCAAATTTTCACAATAGTTAATCAGTTTATCAAGCATTTTGAAAAAATAAAACAATAGTCAAACCTATGTGTTTCTTTTTTACTTAATGCAGAAAGAATGAACTAATAGAGAATGTCATGGAACTAGGACTTTTCCCAATAAGTCATAACTTTTTACTAATTTATCTCATTCCTTCCATTTCCCCCAAGTGTACTGTCATTATTTAAAATATATTTATTGATAGTACGTGTTTTGTTTTATGGAACTGTGAAGATTGCTCAAGCGTGCAAGCCTTATGTAAAAGTCATAGGATTTTGGGACTCGGTAATGGAGTTAGGACGTGCATATGAGTGCTTGATGGGATTAGTAATATTTATGCCAATTGTCGTACTATCATGGTTCCCTTTTGTATCAGAGTTCCAAACAAAATTGCTTTTCAGTCAAGCATTGAGAAGAGGTCTTCAGATTTCAATGATTCTTGCTGGGAAGAAGGACAAGGAAAAGACTCAGCCAACTTGATAGGTAAAATCAATCAACACCTTGTTAACAACTCAAAGAAAGTTTTGAATTTAAAACATTTCAATCCAAGATTTCATTTCTGCATATGTTTTTATCTGTATGTATTCTTAAAATTCAAAATTCTTTTTAATGTTAATTGTAATTACAACTTATAATAGTTATTTTTTTGAGATCGGATCTTGATGAACATTGTCTGAGATTATAGTCATACATGTTAAAATATATATATATATATATATATATATATATATATATATATATATATATATATATATATATATATATATATATATATATATATATATATATATATATATATAGTCAAGATCAAATAAGAAGGAAATTTTTGGTAGGAAGGTAAGAAGTTTTTTTCCTACATATTTTTTTCGCGAAAAAACAAAATGAATCATTAGATGATTAATTTGTAAGATGATTCACAAGAAAAAATTCTCAAAAAAACATCTCGATGATTCATTTATACAATGATTTTGTTGTTATTCACTAAAATTGTCATAAAAGTGAATTTTTTCTTAATTTACTTAAAAATGAATCATAAATATGTTTTTTTGGGAATTTTTTTTTTTTGTGAATCATCTTACATATGAATCATCTAGTGATTCATTTATTTTGTTCGTCAAAAAAATATGTAGAAAACAAACTTCTTACTTTCCTACAAAAAAAAAATTCTTACTGGATCTATATCCTACAATGGTATGAATTATATCGGGAGATGCTACAAATAACCACATTTTATTACACTTTTCCATGCAACATATCATCGAAGATTACCGAAATTATTAGACCATCTCCAACCTATCTCCATTTTCCCCCCTAAAAATGGAGTAAAAAATGGGGTAAATAGTGTTTTATCTCCAACCCTACTTCATTTTCCCCCCATTTTTAACTCCAAAAAGTATATTCCAAGTATATTCTATTATTCAAACTTACATATATTTGCAAACACACCCCTCTACTAATTTAGTTTTAACAAATATATAATTTATATTTTTTCATTACATTAATATTAAAAAAACAATATTATATTTATAATACACTTATAAATAAATATTATACACGAATTTATAAAAGTATTACACATACACATTTATAAATAAATATTATACATACATTTATATAAATATTAGACATACATATTTTTAAATAAATATTATACATGCATAGATAACATATTTATGCGTTGGAATAAATTTCTCACAAATGATCAACTAACGCATTTCGTAGACTGAAGTGTGATTCTTTATCTTTAATACGTTTATATCGAACAAGAAATTGTTGGAATTGATTGTCTTCGTCTGTCGTCAATTCAACCTCTATCATATTTGTAATATATATTTTAATTATAAGTTTTTGTAAAATACGTTATCATTTTTTAGAATTTCAATATGTATTTAATTTTTTATATGAATTTGATGAAAAAAACAAATTTTATATTTATGATTAATTAATATACTTTAATATATAATAAAATATTATAATTATTAAATATTATATTTAAATTATAATTAGTAGGTAAAAACGAACTAGAAATGTATAAATATATAAACAGAGGGATTAAAACCGATAACGCAAAGTTCATCCCCATTTTCGGGGAAATAAATAGTATACCACCATATTTGGTGTAATACTATTCATATCTCCCAAAATGGGGGAATAAATGGGGAGGGTTGGAGAAAATGAGGGAAAATGGAGAATGAAAGTGGGATGGAGATGCTCTTAATGTCTATTTTTGAATGCTATTCATGTCATCATATAATCACACTTCATTTAAAACCGCGGCGTAGCGCGTTCTTTTATTAGTTTTGTTTATGATCCAAGGTTATTAGCAATAAAAATAAGAGATAAAAATATTGTTACAGTGATTAAAGTGGTAGGAGAAGACAACAGCAATGACATTTGTATTGTTATTGATGAATACACTTTTTAAAAGGTTATATTTGTGTATTAATTATTTACGAATATATTGTATAAACCATTATGATATGTTATTCTAGAAATGAATTTTGTGTTTATGTATTAATCATTTATGAATATATATATCTTTAATTGTTTAAGTTTTTTATTCATTGATAAACCAAGTGTGAAGCCCATGTATTCTATGAGTTTATTTAAAACAAGTTAAATATGAAATTTTAACAATTTGAAAAGTTTGAATTTATAAGAAAAATGAGAATTTTTTTTGAATTATTAAGATTAATGAGGCATTAATGTATTGAATATATTAAATATATAAATTCTTTCTAATAAATATCTTACATATATATTACCTACATATATATTACCTTACATATTAAATGTGAAATTTTAATTTAATAAAATAACAGGTGGAAAATAAAAAATTTAAAAATTCTAGAAAATGTAAATGTATCCAAATGAAGAAAAATAGGACATGTGGTAAAAAGTTCTTTGTTTATTAGGTAGGATAGATGTCAGGTGCGATGGTTTTTTATAATTATTTTTGAATTATATTGTATTTTTTATTTCAAAATTGTGTTTTATTCATTATTGATTAAAGTTGCATTAATTTTTTTCTTACCTTTTATATTGTACTTTGTTTATTTTAACATTACAAATATATTCGTATGAATACAAGTATATTCATATAATTACAAATTCATTTTTTTTTATCTCTATATTTGGTTTTATTTATTTATTATTACAAATATTTGAAAACGTATATTCACGTATGAAGACAAATTCTCGATTTTGAAGTGATTACGTCATTTATGAATGTTGGTATACTATTAATCAATCGTAATATAATAATTTAGTTTTATGAATATAAGACAATAGCAAATTACAACATTGTATTTTTTTTTGTCATGCATTTATAATCTAGTTTTATGAATATAATTCGATCCACAAGAAAAAGGTCGATTATATTCATATATCAATATAAGATCTTGGTCATTCTAAGTGATTTCATTATCTATAAATATAGTTGTATCATTGATGAATATAAATCTATAAATATAAACAATCATTGATTTCCCAAGCGATTATTATCATGTATAATTAATAATTTATTTATATTTAAGGAAAATGTAACTCTGTAGCCCTACAAAGTTATAGGTTTTGGTTTAAAATGTTCATTTTTTTTTTATTTTTTTTTATTTTGGCTTTCTAAGGATACAAATTCCTATTTCACGGGTTTTAAAAGCCATTATTTAGAAAGTGAAGGTGTCACCCGGTGAACCTCTTCCTTATCACCAGGTTGTATGTTACAAATCATTAAAATATGCCATCTCAGCTTCCAGATGTTACCTAATGCTAGAGTAAATGACCTAGTACACCCTTCCTTTACAATCTAAATAACATGTTCTACTGTCACTTTCATCTTCCCCATTCTTCTATTATAACCCCACTAAAAATCGCTTAAATGGTCGTATACATGCAGATCAATCTTCATTTTGCTTGTTTTTTACAAGGTAACCCGTGAGTAGTGTGGAGCGAGGCAAAGATTTGAGGATGTCGATTTTTTTGGGATGGAGAATAACAAATTTGTGGTGTTCGTCAAAAGATTTGCGAATGAGAAATGTATGAATGTGTAATAATGCATGCCCTATATTGAGTTTGCTGATGGATTAACGATAATAGCTAATGAAAGATACTACCAGGAGTTCATCGAAGTAGGGTATACTTGTGGTTGTGTAGTTCCTGTATATATGGATCATCTTGGTATTAATGTCCATCAATAGGTTTTTGATGAGGAAGCTGAAGTATACAGTCCTGAAAACAAGCAGTCTAGTTTAGCTGACTTCAATGAAGAAGTGCATGGTGAGGGAGCTGTTGAGATTGACATAGATGAATTGCAAGGTACTATTGACGATGACATTGAACATGTTTGATTAAATTCCGATGAATAAGACCATACATGATGTGTTGTTTACCAAGATCTGCCCGAAGCTACAACAAACCCAGTTTAATCCACCTCATGAGGATCCATATGTTTAAATTGATGACAATGAAGCAATAATTGAGGAGGTAACAAGTTTTTAATGAAAATGTACATTAGTAAAAAGCTAAGGTTGCAGAAATTGCTCGATGTAGGCTAATCGGTGGACTAGCGTCAAAGGATTAATCAGCTAGGCGGGGATTAATCGGAGGATTAATCGGGGACCATTAATTATTAAAAATATTATTAAAGATTTAATAAATATAACATTAATCATAAAAATATAAGTAAATAAGAACAATTCAACTACATGGTTTGACTCTTTTTCTTGTATTCTTGAGAAACTAAGCAAATTCAAATACATGTTACAATTCAACACCCTGCAACATCCACACAAATTCTTGAATATACAAGTTTTGAATTAAAGAACTTGTTAAAAATTTATTAAATTCTACAATAAGATTTGGAAAATGTGAGCCCTCTCCACTTAAATCAGAATGAATATTCTCTTTATTTATGTTTTGAATGCTTCATTATGTGATGGAGGACCATTTGTTTCCATCCTATGGTCTTGCTTCTCTTTACAAATCCATCAATAACGTAGTATATGAAATAACATCTCACTCAGGTATTTCATTGAACAGGTGGATTGCTCTAGTAATTTTTCCATTTCTCATCAATCCACAATTCAAATTCTATTCTTGCTACTTATAATCGAGACTCTAACCTACAATTCCAATCCAAAATCATAACTAATAAGCGCTATCGGCATCAACAATTCACAATGTCTATGAATTCAATTCGAAATCACAAAACATCTACTGATTACCACATCGAGATGCAAATTGCAGTTTTAAAAATCGATTAAAGGTTTATTTACAAATAAAATCACAAATGAAAACAGAAGTGAATTAGAGGGATATCGATTAAAGGGATACCGGTGAAGGAGCCGATGGCCGATTGAGATGCAGATAATAGAGTTGTGGGGTTGTCGGCGCTGAAAGAGATGTCACTGATCGCTTCACGAATCAGAGTCGAGCAGGGGAGGACCACTAATTTGTGACTGATCTGATTCGCTTGAGTCATCGTCGTCGTCCCTTGA